ATGATGAATGTACATGAAGACGTGCAAAATTATTATGGACAACAACTTCAACAATCAACTGATTTAAAAACAGATGCTTGTTGTTCAAAAGCTCAAGTTCCTTCGTTTATCAAAGACATTATCAAAAAGATTCATCCAGAGGTTGTGGCAAAGTGAGTTTCTACTAAGGGGAATAGATACCTTATTTATTTCTTAATAGATATTATGGATGTGGTTTAGTCTTTCCACCAAAACTTGAAGGATGTCGTGTATTAGATCTTGGTTCTGGATCAGGTCGTGATGTTTATATTTTATCAAGCCTTGTTGGACCCCAAGGATATGTTGTTGGTGTTGATATGACTAAAGAACAAGTATATCAAATTTCCTATGATGAAGTATCGATAGAAATTCGTTCTTTTTTCTTTTCTTTTTTTAATTTAGCTTGATGTTGCTAATCGTTTTATTGATTATCATACAAAAATATTTGGTTTTGAAAAAGCAAATGTTGAATTTCGTTTAGGTAAAATTGAACAACTTACTGATGATTCTAGATTGCAAATCAATTCATTTGATGTTATTGTGTATGTGTATATCTAGTTTGCTTTTTTTTTTCTTAAATTTAATCTGATCATTATTGTTTTAGATCGAATTGTGTTGTTAATTTAAGTCCTAATAAGAAGAAAGTTTTACAACAAATATATGAAATGTTAAAAGTAAGTTGATTTATGGATACAGATAAACTGTTATTTTTTTTTGTTGTTTCGAGCTATTTCTTTGTAACAGACAACAATATTCTAGTTTTACGAGTGGAAGTCTTCCAACTGATAAATCGCTTTTGAGTCGATGATTTTCAAATGTCGGCTTGAAAACTTGCATAGACAAATGTTTTAGATCTTATCAATATTCCTATCCTAAGATACAAACTATGGGGTAATAATGTGTGTCTTTTACATTGCTCATATGAATTAGCAGATTCGATACTCCTATTTCAGGATAGAAGTAAATCAAAAGATCTTAAACTTTCATAATAAACTACTCTTATTAAGATCTGTCTCTATGAAAAGTTTAAATGATCCAACAGGAGAGTAAACACTTAATAAAGCATATATAGCAAAAATTTCTATTTATTTATAGCCTGGAGGTGAATTTTACTTCAGTGATGTCTATGCTGATCGATCAATACCAGAAGATTTACGACAAAATAAAATTCTCTGGGGTAAGACTTTTTAAAAATAGTTCTTTTTTTTTCTCTTATAATATTATTTTGTAAAATGGTGAATGTGGAAAATTTCAAACTACGTAGAAATCTTTCTTAATTGAACCTTTGTTTAAATACCTTTTTAAATATAAATTGCATACAATATTCATTTTCACATTTAACGATCGATATTTTAAATATTTACAATAGGTGAATGTCTAAGTGGTGCTATTTGTGAAAGTGATTTGATTTCGGATGCACTTGATGTTGGTTTCACACGACCAATATTGGTAACAAAACAACCAATTGGTGTCAATAATGAAGAATTACAAAAGTTACTTGGTTAGATTTTTTTCTTTCCTCGTCCATTTATTTTTCATTCTATTAATAAAAAATATCATTTGTATAGGTGATATCAAATTTACGTCATGTACTTATCGCTTCTTTAAGAATAAATCTATTGAAGATTCAACAAGTTTCAATGATAAACTTGGTACTTTGGTAACTTATCAAATACCAATTGTTCATTATGAAAATGAATTTCAATTTAATCACTCGATTACGTTTAAGGTATAGTTTCGATAGTTGTATATGATTCAATTACTATGTTTATTATTTAGATTCATGATAAACCACAATATCTTAATGCGGAATTGACAAAAATGTTACGTATATCAAGATACAGTGATAATTTTAAATTTGATCCAATTACTGATGAAAAGGTAACAAGAATTTGAAGGAAATATTAATTTATTATAATCAGTTTTTTTTTCCTAGCAAGTACTAAATATATCTAATGATGTATGTGATCAGCAAATATTAAATGATCAATCATCATCCAGTTGTTGTTGTCGTCCAGGAACTTGTTAAAACAACATATGAAAAATATATTTTAAAGCTAGATATTTAATTTTTATTTTTAGTTAAAAATTATTTGTTTTCTATTCTGTGAAGTGATGATTATTACTTTCTACAAATAAATAGAAAACTAGTATAACTAGAACTTATATATAATCTGCTCGATCTCATTTAAATGACTTTTAAGAAGTTTGCAGAAATTTTAAAGATATTAGGTTGAAATCAGATTTTTGTGTTCTTTTCAAATATGAGTTCAAAATTGTTGTAGAACTTCTGATTTAGAAGTTATAAGCCGACCTTTTAGAGGCCCATAAATTCCTTTCACACGTCAAAAATTACTATATCAAAAGCATAGAAATGAAAAGCAATATTATTTTACTAAAAGTATTTGATTTTAATAAAAATTCATCTATAGATTATGAAGAATTATATGATGAAGTAATTGAATATACGGAGAGGACAATAGCACTATCAAAAAAAGTAAACATGTATTATCATGATAGAAAAAATATTCATATATGTATCTACAATTATGATATTTAACACCACCACTGCGTTGTATTGAAATGTTATCAACAACAAGCAAATGTATACTTAGCGAAATTGATCGAATTTTAGAAACAGAAAGATATCAAGTGAATTCTGAATCACTTGCTTTTTTTGTGGAATTCATGATGATCTCTTTTGTTTTGTTGCTGTTTATGGCAGAAACTCAAAAGTATACTTTTTCATATAAAGTAAAAGTTTCAAAAACTGTACTATGACTGTAAAAGTATCTATCGGATATCGATTAATTTTGGTCCGGATACACAAAATCGTACTCGTCCAAGACACTACTTTTGTTATACTATCGATAAACTTCTTTTTAGATGTGACCATTGTCACCAATTAACAGTGGCGGAAGTACTTTAATTTCTGATGAGGAGTTTAAAGAAATTTTTTGCTCTATATGGTCTGATAGAGAAAACGACGCTCTATTTTTCTATATTATTACATCTTTCTTCAAATAATGTTATAATAATAAAAATTTCTATAAGATCTGTTTTTCTATCATATGTATCGGTTGTACTAATGCCTATTTAGTTGATAATTTTTTGAATAGTTTTTGATAGAAACAAGACAGTGAGCTGTGGCTTTTATCGTCCAAAAAAGGAGATTAAGATGTATCGAGTCGTATATTATAGATTATTCTGACATGATTTTTTTAAGGTTTTCAATCCATTTCTTTGAAAACAAGCCTATCCATTTGGTGTTTACAATGAATTTTCAATTGTCAGATGTGCATTGAAATCGTTGATGGAAGATCTATAAAACTGTACAAGGTTCAGATGTTTAGAATTAATCATTTCGAAGTTATAGGTATTTTAATCGAAAATTTAAATGTTTTTTCAACTAAATAGGCATTAGTACAAACGATACATATGATAGAAAAACAAGTCTTATAGAAGTTTTATGATTATAACATTGCTTAAAGAAAGATGTAATAGCTTAGAAAAATAGAGCGTCGTTTTCTCTATCAGATGATATCGAGAAAAAATTTCTTCGAGCTCTTTATAAGAAATTAAAGTGTTTCCGCTACTATTTTTAGTATGATCTAAGTATTTTCTATTGATGAATTCCTAATGTATAAATATCGTTAAATAGTTTTGTCGTAACAAAAAAACATTGTTTTATGAATCAAATCTCAATTATTCTATGTGAAATCAAGTAATACCGAGAGAGAGACTGTTAGAAGAACGAACCGATGATTTATCTTTACATACGATTATATAATTTATTTATGCACTTAGAATAAACATATGACTAGATTATCTTTTAAAAGAAAAGAAAATGACTAATTTGACCTGATTTTCATCTATATTTATCATTGTTCGTTTTATTTTTTTTTATTTTTCTTTATATTTTTTCGATTTTGAAAATCAAATCAAATGACCATAATTCATATATTGAAAATCGATTGTTAAATCATTGTTTTCTTTTTTTCTTCAGAATAAACAATATATCATCTTCATCTCTTTGTATATACCATTCTTTCTCTATGATAGAACGAATCGATTATATGATGAATACATATGCCTGGATCAAGGCATAAAACAATGTCGAATACTGAATCTTACTATTCAAACAAACACATGAAAAATTCTCTCTATCCATTTTATACCATATCATAATCATATATATAAATAGACTTCGATTGTATGTAAGTATTCATTATCGATCGAACATGCCTCGTGACACGAATCGTAAGTTTTTTGTACTTGCAAAAAAATAAAAAAATATTCTTTTGTTTTGTTATAGATTCTTCAGTTTATGATGATTTTAGTCGTGATGCTTCTCGTCGTTGTTATATATCGAAAACATCAACATTAAATACAAATATAATTATTGATGGACATATATTTCATCTTGGTTCACGTTATTCTTCACCAAAAATAATTGGTTCAGGTGCATATGGTCAAGTTATATCAGCATATGATTCTTTACTTCAACGTAAAGTAGCTATTAAAAAAATTAAATTACCTTCAATAAATACTGTTGAAGCTAAATTATTTTATTCACGTTCATTACGTGAAATATGTATTTTAACACCATTAAAACATGATAATATTGTTCAAGTACTTGATTGTTATACATCAGCAACAATAATTGAACAAATGCGTGAAATATATATTGTAACTAATTTAATGCGTTTAGATCTTCATCAACTTATTAAAATGAATAATCAACGACCAATAGATAAACGTATTATTACAAATAGTCATATACCACATTTTCTTTATCAAATATTACGAGCATTAAAATTTATTCATTCAGCTAAAGTTTGTAAGTATATTTTTGTTTTTGATTTAATAATAAAATTAAAATATTAGTTTTTATTGTATTAAATTTATAGTACATCGAGATTTAAAACCAAGTAATATTTTTGTTGATCTTGATGGTCATGTACGTATTGGAGATTTTGGTCTTGCTCGTGTACCAGAAGAAGAAGCTAATACACCAATGACTGGTTATGGTAAATTTTCTTTTGTTTAAATAATCCAAAAATAAAAATTCTTTTTTTATTTTAGTATGTACACGATGGTATCGTGCACCTGAATTAATGCTTTGTGATGGTACATATACTTCAGCTATAGATATGTGGTCAATAGGTTGTATTCTTGGTGAACTTATATATGGTCAACCATTATTTCCTGGTCGTCATTATTTTGATCAATTACGTCTTATTATTGAACGTCGTTGTGGTTCATTAGATTTTCCTATTCATGAACATAAACTTGCATATCCAACAATATCAGATAAATCATTAAATGTTCTTCAACGATTATTATCACAATGTAAAAATTCTTATTCAAAACCATTTTTATCATCAGATTCAATTATATCAAATATTGATGAAGCTGCATTTGATTTACTTGATCAATTATTATTAATGGATCCATATAAACGTTTAACAGCTGAAGATGCATTACATAGTTCATTATTTAATAATTATCGAAAAGATGCTGGAGGTGAACCATCATCAGAAGAAGCATTTCAACTTGATCTTAGTCCATATCAATTATCTGACATTCGTGCAATGCTTTTTCAAAAAGTACAACTTGTTCATCAACAATTACATGAAAAAGCACTTATACTTAATGAACAAGCAACAATGATGGCAAATATAAATATGGAGAAGATGGATTGTTATTAGTAATAGATTATTTCAGAACAACAACCAATTGACTAAATTTTTTAAATTTTCTTCTCTAAGATTATAGAGAAGGAATGTCCTTGTTTTTTTTTTCGTTTGTTGTTATTCAAGGAGAGTTTATATTCTTCTTGTATTATTTATTTTTTATGAGATCTCATTTTTTTTTCATTTGAGTACGTTTTGTGTATTACATACGTTTTCTTTTGTTTTATTTTATCAAGTAGATTTAGTAGATATTCTTCTCCTTGGTTATTAAATTTATATTTGATACTAGTTTTATCATTAATTATATTGACTCGTACATCATTGTTGCTACGTTTTATCTTATTTTAAAAAAAAATATTATATTATATGTATCAACAATGAAACTATTCAATCAATTATTGTTTTAAACACAAAAACTGATTACCAAATGAAGCAAAAAAGCATGCTATAGAATGTGACGAAGAACGTCCGAGTTGAGTTTTTGTTTTTGGCCAAGAAAGTGCTATTACAGGATATCTACTCGTGTGCACCCACGAGCGTAGGAGGTCGCTGAGTGGTAGGAATAATATTACGATCGTATACGACAAAATACACACATCTATTACATTGATATTTGTTCCGCAATACGGTCATTTTCTAATGGACATGGTAGGATTCACTAACGTTTACGGCTGCATATCCACGTGAATTACCATACCGAGTGTAAATAGAAAAAAAAGGCCGCCTATGAGTGAGACTCTAATTCCTCTCATTGCCAGATCGAGAATTCTACATTTTGGATTCGGTAATAAATAAAACACAAATTATGCGTATCGAAAAAAAAGCTTTTAAAGATATTCTTCTATTGTATAGACTGAGTCAGCTTCGAACAAGTTGTTAGAATAAGGATGCTGTTAAAAAATAGTACTTGCCTTTTGATACAGATTTTTCTATCTGAAAATTATTTTAAATGAGGTAGCTTTCAACAACAAAACCTTTGTAAATCTAAAACAAATCTTTAATAGCTACTGCGTAGTAGCGTACCTATGACTAAGAACTATTAGTATTTATTATAATTAAAAAAAACAGATATGAAGGCTTTCTTTTTTTGTAAGGCGAATATTGTATAAATAGTAGATTAGAAGATATGATATAGCTTAATTAAATCTTCATTTTCATCTTTTAAGTCTTGATGGATGAGTTTGTTTCAAAAATAAGGTGCAAGATAACTAACTCAAAGTCTTTGTTCTGAGTTATTTAATCAGTTTAAGTTTGCACTTTAGTTTAGTTGACCTATTCAGGTGTATCAAGCAACAATTACATACTTTGACTTAGTTGGACGTTCACTATTGAACCTACTTATTTATGTTAGAAAGCCACGTTTTTTTTTTCTTACGAGGAAACATTCCTAAGTAATGCGCTCTGTTTATTTTTTTATTATGTCCATATGTGGGAAACCATAGATTGAAATAACCTCCAAAGAAATTCGTGCTCTTGCTTAGATTTGGCCAAAATATCCAATTTTTAGTAGATTTTTCCTATAGAACATTAGTTTTAGAGTAAAACCATATCTTCGAATTTCGATGTAAAAATTTATCAACATGAAGGTCTTGCTATGACAAGCTCATATATAAAGTTTCATCATTTTTAGACATTGTATCTTTGAAATATAAATTTTTCAAAAAAAAAAAGGCATCGTTCTATAGATATGCACAATGTAAAACAGGATCACTTGAGAATGTTTCCTCGTTAGTAAAAACTTGATATTGGAAGAAGCAATAACTAATGATCTAGGATGTGGCTGTGTTTGTGTTGGAGAAGCAAAGGAAGACACTCACACCCTCAAACAAACTAAAAATTGAGAAATGTAGAAAAAAAGTCATTGACTAAAGATTTCAAACACTGCAAAACGAGCAAAAGGTTAGAATATCACGAGAGGAGAGATTAATTTGCATAAAAATACATTTTATTGGATTACAATATGCAAAAAGAAGTTAAAAAAAACCAAGAATATAGAGAACATTTAAAATCTTATGTCATTCGATATCTTTTCGCCATTGTTCTTTTAATAAATGATGTGCCTATTGGATTTGCTTAGCATTTAACATCGAATACAAACAGAATTATTTCTATTTTCATTTTGCCAAATTCCATGTTCATTTTTCTTTCTCCATTCTGCAGCTTTATCAAAATCGGCTCTAGCTAATGCTGAATCTTTCAGTTTATCGACTACTTCTACGTCTCGCCACCATTGCAATATGAAACTGATCCACACTCTGACTTCAAATAATAACGTAGGTTTTACTGGATTTATATCGGATGGATTTGAGGGTGAAATCGATCTTTGTAGTGCTAATGGTGGATGAATGCTAAATACCAATAGTTTTTGACTATTCGACAGGAGAACAATTTCATCATCAACTGCTCTTCGTGGTGAAGATAATAGACGAAGAAGTTTGGCGGCAGTACGTGATCGAATTGCATATGCATGTGTACAACTTGGATTAAGTGCTTGATGGATACGATAACCGTATGCTCCTTCATAGATCATCGAACCAGGTATATTGCCACAAGAACCGAGATAGATTAAATCCGGTTTATTCCATAGATCATGAGGAAATGACTTGAGCACTTCTGATGTGAACGTTTCGAGATCAATATCATCTTCAAACACAAGTGACCAAGTGTCATTACTTTTGGAATCAGCAATTGCTGACCAAATTTGCATATGACTGGCCCAACAAGCAAGTTCAACTAAGGTAATATGGCCATTACGCACTAGATGATTACGAGAAGCAACTTCAGGAGAATTTATAGTATGAGCAGGTACTATAAAAGCATCGAAATGAAGTGTTTTCATGAGAGCAATTGTACTTGTTCGTCGATCGGGACGATTAGGTAAATTAATAATATAAATTTGTTTGATTTGACCAATATGTTTTATGGTTCCATTGATATGCAATAATGTCGATTCGGATGGTGGTTTAACTCTGTTCTCGAAGACAACAATAGGATCAGACAAATAAGCATGCGGTCTTTGGAAGCTCAAGAGGTAATTAAATACAAGGAAGAATAGAAATGGAATAAAAATACATATCACGGCAATGGAGTATTTGGAAATGCTTGCCGACCATTTGTTCCACCTGGACTCTGTTGGAGTTGATACTATTCCCATTGAACTTTGATTGTTCCTATCGAACAAAAACAGTTAAATTCTCAACTGAGCAATTATGACTTCCTATTTATAAAAATTGAAGGTAACAAAATAAATTTAAATCTCGTAAATTATGTCTTTGAATGGAATTTCGTGCAGTCGCATTTTTTCTGCAGTAAACATTCTTTTTGTTAGAAACAGTGGCATCTCCCAATCAGACAAACAATAAAAAGAAAAGAACGTAACAACGCATCAGAATTTTAACGGAAATAAAATCGCATCTAGCGCACATTTTTACGATTTCAATTTCGTTCAAGAAGTGTAAAGCATTTTTACACGTTCAGTTTTTGAATTAAGTGCATCCCTAGAGAGCACACAATTATATTCTATGAGTCTGAGTTACTTGAAGTATAATTTAGATGAATTATTATAAAAATTCATTTAAATTACGCTTCAAATAACTCAGATCCATGCAACAAAACATGATGCTTCTCGTTAAAACAACCAAGATATACGTATCTCAACGTTATAAAGGGGGTTTTACAATAGAAAAAAGGAAAGGGAAGGATAGAATTAGCAAGAGAACTAGTGAATGTAATAGCGAATGACTGCAACCAGAGAAGCACCAACACATACATCTACAAAACATGTTGCAGAGTATCAAGTATGACGTATACGAGTATATTATTAGGACAAGTCCAATATAGAACATGTGATAACATATTGGGAAAAATCTAATACATCATGTTCGTAAAAAAACAGCATATGATGCATAGATATAATTGTCCATGTGATAAACCGATCAGAAAAGAGAAAACAATGAGTCAGCACAGAATGAAAAGGATGACAAATGTACACAAAAATGAATCTGCTAGCGTTATTGTGTAATAAAACTGAATCGAGCTGAATGTATTAAGGAAGTGCGTTATTACAAACATGTTAAAATATACATGTATCAAATTTTTTATTTTTAGAATGAGAAAAATATCAGTCGCACATTCACTATGAGTCATTATTATCGTTATATTCTTATGGAGTCTAATACTAAAATAGGTTTAGATATAGTTTTGTGGAAGTCACGTATATTTTCGAAGAAAATAATAGTGAGTAGAAGTTTAAATCGAGGTTTTTGCAACTCCTTCCTTCTAGATTCTAGCAACTGGGGCCGGAGGTGGAGTCAAAGATTATTGAATATGTTTTCCTTGCAACGAAAAAAAGCGCATAAGTAATAATAGCATTTAGATCATTCTAGATCTCTGTAGATGCTAACTAGTCTAAAATTGCGGGTTTTAGTTTTTAACGTAGGAAAAGGAACTTATTGAAGGTATGAATCAGTGGGGCGGTGATATTATGTTTTTAGCAGAGTCAGAATAGGACGAATATAGAAAAGTATGAACTAATTGAATTCTACGTTTACGTAAAACTCAATAGTGTATGTCAATGTTCATCGAAAGAAAGAATGATGTGTGCGATAGTTTATTCAACGATAAAATCAATGTATATAGCAGACTGACATGATAGTTGAAGCAATGTAACAAAGAGAAAATTATTTTTGTTGCTTCGTATGACGTGTATCGTATACATTATTATTAGGATAGAAAAAACGTTATGTATTAAAGATGTATCTGACAATACAAATAAGTCGTGTTAGTATAATTGATGGTAAACCTTAAGAAGCGTTATACCTTCATTTTTATATTATCGTAAATTGTGACAGAACAAAAAAGAAAAAGAGAAAGGCTTATAATAAGCGATGTAATGAGCGTAAGACGTTCATTAAGCGTTATGATCTATATCGAGCAAGAAAATAAGATGAAAGAAATGATTATGACATATAGCATACAGCATATTCTCATAAGCTTCTTCAAAGTTGAAAGTATACTTTAGAATTCTAAAATTCTTGTTAAATTCTGAATATATACAGTGAAATACTCAACGAAGAAAAATGAAAGGCTTTATTTATCGCGCTATTTCAGTGTCAAAACCAGGGGTGGCCCGAGGCAGCAAACATTGGGAGGTTGTCCCTGACTTCTGAGATGGAAATATAATTTTTTTTCTAATAGGGCGCAAGAAAAGTTTTTGACTCCGCGGGGGGAAAAACGAACATTTTCGATTATTGGGGGGTTGTCACAACCCCCAGTCGGGCTGCCCCTGGTCAAAACTAATAAATAGATTTTTTGTTTACAATCTTTTAGTTATTGTACTATACTAAATGATTACCATGTAATACTACATCATAACGTCTTATACAAAAACGGAGAGTAAAATTATTCATGCGAGACTGAAAGAGCATATATATCCAAGACACGTATAGCCGAGAGAACAGAAAAAAATTGACAGTATTACATTATCTTTGCCTTTTCTTTCTTTCTTTCTTTCGTTCGCTATAATGAGATATACGATTTCGCTATAGTCGAAGATATTTCGACCCATCATTAAGTATAACCATGTTAAATGAATCAAATAAATTGATAAAATAGGAATTTTAATTGCAAATATTTTCGAGATACTAAAATTTCAGAGTGTGCATATCAACTATAAAAATTGTTAGAATTTCGATATGTTCATTTATTTGATACACTTTTTTAAAATAAACTATTTTAACCTCTCTGATAATATATCATAAATTTATAACAGTCAAAATTTGTAAGTTCGACATTTTGGCACCTTAAGGGGCCATACTGACAAGTTTTCTTAGGAGAGTTCGACATGA